CTTGAAGGCTGCCTTGCCGACTCCAATAACTTTCATCTTGTAACCACATCCCGAGTTCATTTCAGTGATGCTCGTCTTCCAAACCTTGTCTAGCAGGTCCGCCCTCGGGGTCATGTGATGAGCCGCTCCGGAGTCAAGAATCCACGTGTTGAGAGGATGAAGCACTGCTCCCTCCTTGGCAGTTGCACTCTCACTCCCCTCGTTCCCTTGCACATGGAAGAACTGTCCTGGAGCTCTCTCCTAATCATCTCCCCCATCACTTGCGGTCTCTGCTAAATAACCAACTCCATGAGGTTGGTTCCTAGCTCCGTCATTGTCTCCTTGTCCGGGAGTCCACCACTTCGGACGTTTCCAACACTTCACCCATGTGTGCCCCGGCTTATTACAATACCAGCAAGTGCCCTTGAACTTGTGGTAGTCATCACAATCATCTTCGTCATCATCATCTTCTTCTTCACTACGCTTGTTGCTCGGCTTCTTATCATCACGCCTGCTTCTATGACGCCCGCGTTCACCTTCATCCCGGCCTTTTCCCTTACGCCATCCGCTGCCTTGCACCCCGTAGCCACCGTCTCCATCATCACCGTAACTCAGCTGCCTCCTCCTAAAGTCTTCTTCCAAGATCTTGGTTCGCACCCACTCAAGCGTCCACGATTCCTGGTTTTGAGGCAAGCTTAGCCCACTCGTGAACGGCATCCAAGACTCGGGTAGCAGTGAGAACATGCGTAGACACTTTGTCTTTTCCGGGTAGATGATGCCCGCAATTTGAAGCTTCGCGTATAGCTCTCTCATCTTGTCAAGGACCGGCTGAATCGGCTCCCCTTCATTCAGGCGCAATGAAGCCAACTCACGCTCCAACATAAGCGTAGCAACCACCGATGTTGGCGCGTGCAGTTCCTTTAACACTTTCCATGCTCGTGGCCCGTTATCAGCTTCCCCCAGCAGATGCATCACATGCGCTCTCTGGTTGAGCTCCAACGTGTGCGATAGGAGGTAGTATCCAGCTGACGCACGCTCGTCCCACTCCCCTTGCAGGACGGGGCCGCTCGGCCTCTCCTCCTCGCCAATCATTATCTTCAACAACCCAACTTGACGGAAGTACAGCTGCATTTTCCACGCCCAATCATCGTACCCATTGCCGTTGAACTTGTTTACGGTGAAGTTCTTAAGCACCTCTCTCAATAGTGAGCCTTGGCTGGTCCGCACTCCCCTTAGCGCTGAACCTCCAATATCTTGGCTTCCACTATTGGAACGTGCAAGTGAACCTTCCGTTCCGCCCGACTCCATGGTGTTCTAATGGCAAAAGTTCCAAAAGGACTAAGAAACAGCTCTGATACCACTTGTTGACTGCTATTTGGGACTTAGAAGCTCTAAGCACAACTTTAATCATCGCTAGATAGTCCTCACGGGGTCACCTCCAAGGGTCCTTGGGTGCCTGGTAGAACCAGCCCCTATCCAAGGGTCCGTATTTGTTGCAGGACTTTTCAAGCGTGAAAACAATCGTGTGCACTGGAGCACTCCCCAGCACAATTGCGGAAGCGATTACGACTGATTGGCTCGTATGCAGAAATTTCTCCTCGCGTCAATACGTCGATAGAGAAAATATTCAGTCCAAAAAGTTGATTACAACTTAACACAAGCACACATTTATAGAACTACTAATGCATGAGCAAAGCAAACGGAAGGCAAACACTAAACAGTTATAAAACTGAAATAAAGGACTTCGCCATGTTGTCTTGGTAAAACGGTTGTCAAACTTCAGTTGCATTTGGCTTGATCCGCTTCATTAGAATAACTGAATTCGAGTTGTACTTGATCCAAACGCCCCTGCTGACTCCCCTCGCGAGAAATCATGAATTCCCGTTAATATTCATGAAGCCTCGTGTGGGTTAACCGTTTTCCCGTTGCAAAACGGAAATTACCGTTTTGTACCTTGTCGAAATGATCACGCAATGTAGCGTGACTTTCTGGCGAAGTGTCTTGTTCGCCACGTCATAAAAGCCAAGACTCGAGATTCAGTTATCCAACTGAAATCTCGAGTCAATCCCGAGCACCCTTCGGGATTCCTCGGCACCCCCCGAAACCCACGCGCACCCCTCCACGCGCGTAATTATGCACGACAGAACTTTCGGTCGTGCTGTACAGCGCACGAACGTGCGCTGTCCTGCTCGAGGGCAGGGCAATCATTTGCCCTGTCCTTTTGCAGGCTTGCGCACAGTGCACGCTCGCCATAGTACGAGGCACACGCATGAGGCCTGAGGGGCCACACTCGCGTGTCAGGACCCCACGCGCGGGCCCTGACCTTCGCGCTCGGTTGACCTTGACCAGCACGAAAAAGTCAAAGTCGCAAAACACTCGCCACACTCGAAAACCTCACGAAAATATGAACTCTCATGAACTCTAATGAAAACTCACAAAAACACATGAGAAATCATGATCGCACACGCAGACTCGAGCAATTGTGAAGCTACGCGAACTTACCGAAACTCACGAGAACTCATGCGCTCTCACGAAAACTCATGAACATTCATGAAATGCACTCACATACAGAAATGCACATAACTCATGAACCGCTAAGGCGATTCACAAACCGTAAACGCACAAATGTAAAGGACACAAATGCGCTTCTCACACTCCACAAATTACCTTAAAACAAAAACTCTCATTTTCCTTTTACCGTCGGCCAATAGGCGGTAGGTTGACGTGCAAACCACATTTAGCACTCAACAGAGAGAAGCATGGAAGGATTGATGACGAGAGAAGCGTGAACTGATGATTGTGTGGAGTATTATCCATACATTGATACTCACAGTACTTGGAAAACAAATAAAAATCTCACAGTCTAGTCAACGCTGTGAGGCTGCTAATTGGCGCTGGTATTGACCCCGATAGCTTGTTCATAGATAAGCGCCTGCAATTGGAAACAGGGCAAACAATGCCAAAGCCCGGCTTGTGTGTGAAACAATAGAAAAAACAAAGTAGATACAGGCAGCATCCAGATTTCCATGGGGGGCGATGTGCCAAGTGCACACATACAGATTGAGAATACATTTAGTTGATTTTATACTTTTTCCTTTTAAGCCCATTTTTAACGGTGACAAAGAAAACCCTAAACCAAGCATAGGCAACACGTATAGCTCACATCGAAGGAACGAGTGCTTCAACATGAGATAAATTTCAGCGGCGCCTCAAGTGGAACAACATGAGATAACCCAACAGCGACTGTTGAACAGCGGTTGGTACTCACAAATCAACCAGGTTGACAAGCCTGGTTGTGGAGTCAGGAATTGGTCCAGTCAGGCTGTTGTTGCCGAGGGATCTGACAGAAGAAAGGTTTGCAAGGAAGGGACGACCATATGGTCAAGAGATTGCACACGTAAAGTTTGCTGAACTTATGTTTTACATGAGCATTTATGAGTGGACAAAAATCAACTTCTTTTTGCTTGACTCTATAAACTTTTGAGTCAACTTGACAGGATTTACTTTCACTCTGGGCCAACTCGTTAGTCGACCATGAAGTCGAGTGACCAACAACAAAACTCATTTCTTACTCACCCTGAGTTGAGTAACAACCACAAAAAAAAAAGACACGTCAGGTTGAGTGCATTTATACTCGTCCTTGAATCGAGAAAAAAGCTCTCAGTCAGCGCATCTGGATTTTGTAGCCGCCAGTATACACGAGCAGACTCGCAGCGTACATCCTCATGTCGTTTTTTTCTTTTTACTCGAGATTCATGAGCACCGAGTTTCGACCGAGAGTGGAATATATTTTTTTGAGCTGGAAGAATTTAAGGTCTACTTAACTCAAACATCGGTTTTTCCAAAAGCGACCAAACCATGGCCATCATTCCCCACCCCAGAAGCATGTACTGAACGACAACTACTCAGTAGTGCCAACCGACTGGGAAGTACCATATATGTAATCCCCTACTCCCCCCAAGCAGTTTTAGGGCGGATCGTTCCATGTCCTCCCAGGTTACTTCTCATTGCACTCACAAGAGTGTCAGGGTGCTCATACTCCCAATAGTGGATGGAATGGAGCCGGTCAGGAAATTGCTTGATAGACTCCTGAAGAAGCATGGGAAGGATAGTGCAGCATGGTTCGACAAGCGAGTAGGTTCAAATCAAACAGGTGGCATCCTTGTGTTGTTGAGTGAATAAAGGGAGGAATCAAACATAAAAAGATTGCTACGGGTAGTGGAGTTACGTAAGAACATAGTGTGTGTGTGTGTGACGTGTAAGTCTCAATACAGCACAATCTATCAGCTGTTGAATTAATCGAGAGGCTCACAAGATGAGCAACAACGGAAAGTTGGTGATTGTTGCTGGTATGGTGCCAGTCAACTTGTTCCGTTGAAGATATCTGCATGTCATATCATGGGAGGAGTGCAAAAGAACAATTTTAAAAGGTCAGAACACAGGTTGCTGCTCTCGAAGAGAAGCTTTTGTCAGATGTACAGCGAGCCAGCCCCCAAGGGTTGAGCCACAGCTCAACTCGGTACAGCCAGCCCCCAAGGGTTGAGCCAGTACAGCGAGTCAGCCCCCAAGGGTTGAGCCACAGCTCGGCACTTTGCTCAAGCCTACTGTCTGGTACCTACCTAATGTATTGACACCACGCAATGCACAGTGGTCCAATAACATTTGAAGTGCCTCACAAGTGTTTTGATGCTGGGCCAACGGATAAGGAGTGTCACTATCAACTCTCCTCAGTCACAGACCATTATGAGTTTCTCCGTTCATCCATTCTGGGGTCTTAACAATAATATTCCTCAAGCACACGGAGTGCAAGAGCATGCTGCTGCAGGGTCTGCAGTGCGCTGTGGCTCACATACCAACCCAAGAAGAAGTGGCATTCACAAGCGAGAAACACACTCACAATACACGAAGGTTTGAGAGCTTGGTGAGGGAGTCAGGAATTGAACCCGTTAAGTTGTTGCCCTGAAGGTATCTGAGGAAACAGCAATGGATGGACGGAGGAATACATGCGGTGAAAACAGTGCATGCGGTCAGAGCAGTGCATGGTGCATGTGGTGGTGCATGCGCTGAGAGTAGTGCATGTGGTGACAGTAGCGCATGTGGTGACAGTAGCGCATGTGGTGACAGTAGTGCATGTGGTGACAGTAGCGCATGTGGTGACAGTAGTGCATGTGGTGACAGTAGCGCATGTGGTGACAGTAGCGCATGTGGTGACAGTAGTGCATGTGGTGACAGTAGCGCATGTGGTGACAGTAGTGCATGTGGTGACAGTAGCGCATCTGGTGACAGTAGCGCATGTGGTGACAGTAGCGCATGTGGTGACAGTAGTGCATGTTGTGACAGTAGCACATGTGGTGACAGTAGCGCATGTGGTGACAGTAGTAGACAGTAGCGCATGTGGTGACAGTAGTGCATGTGGTGACAGTAGCGCATGTGGTGACAGTAGTGCATGTGGTGACAGTAGCGCATGTGGTGACAGTAGTGCATGTTGTGACAGTAGCACATGTGGTGACAGTAGCGCATGTGGTGACAGTAGCGCATGTGGTGACAGTAGCGCATGTGGTGACAGTCGTGCATGTGGTGACAGTAGCGCATGTGGTGACAGTATTGCATGTGGTGACAGTAGCGCATGTGGTGACAGTAGCGCATGTGGTGACAGTAGTGGATGTGGTGACAGTAGCGCATGTGGTGACAGTATTGCATGTGGTGACAGTAGCCCATGTGGTGACAGTATTGCATGTAGTGACAGTAGTGCATGTGGTGACAGTAGTGCATGTAGTGACAGTAGTGCATGTGGTGACAGTAGTGCATGTGGTGACAGTAGTGCATGTGGTGACAGTAGCGCATGTGGTGACAGTAGTGCATGTGGTGACAGTAGCGCATGTGGTGACAGTAGTGCATGCGGTGACAGTAGCGCATGTGGTGACAGTAGTGCATGTGGTGACAGTAGTGCATGTGGTGACAGTAGCGCATGTGGTGACAGTAGTGCATGTGGGGACAGTAGTGCATGTGGTGACAGCAGTGCATGTGCTGGAAGGATGACATGGTGCACATGTCATGTCAGCGAGATGGCAATGGGACAGAGGAGCATGTCTGGAAGGAGGCTTTGCTCTGGAATTGGCTGTGATTCGGTCCATCTTAAAGCGTTGCCATTGCAATGGGTGCAAGATCTGTATGCCATTCCTCTACGCAACATATCTCATAGACTTAGGGTCTTTGAAAAAGTTAGTGCAAATTTTATGCTGAATGCGCTCGATCGGTCAATTACTTCCCAAGTACGTTGATGTATCACTTTCTGTTTTCCTAGACCCACCTTCTCCCACGGGGAGCCATATCAAGCGACACTTGCATTCAGCTTAGAGCCCTCAGCTGGATTTCAAAGAGTTGACCAGCCAGATCACTCACAAGTCTCTATTCAACACAAGGTTGCTTAGCCCTGGTATTATTGGACCACTCAGCATGTTCCCATGGAGAAATCTGTGAACCACAAGATCAAAGGGTGAGCAGATGAAAGGATGGAATACCGAGGCGAGTGAAACTTCAACCATTCCTAGTTAAAGTGACAAGCAGCACGCAGAGCAGGGGTGCAAGGATGGACTGGTTTTCAAATCAAGCACTAATAATCGTAGAGGAGTGCTTGAGGACAGACGCGCACAGCTTCTGAGGCGCGCATGCCGCTCGTTGTCGAGCAGAGTTGATGGGGTCGAGCCGGAACGAGCCCAGCCGGCATGGCTCAGAACGAGCCTAGCCAGAGAGGCAGCTTGGTTCGGCAATAGTTGAAAGCGTGGTGATAAAGTCAAACCAAAAAACACTTATAAGCCAGCAATAGTTGTAAGGGTGGTGATAAACTCAAACCATAAAAACACTTACAAGCCAGAAATAGTTGATAGCGTGGTGATAAATTCAAACCAAAAAAACACTTACAAGCCAGCAATAGTTGTAAGCGTGGTGATGAAGTCAGGAATACTCCCCGTCAAGCCATTGTAGCCCAGGTTACTGAGAGGAGATGAATGGAGGGAAACGGAATGTATTGCACACCAAGGTTGAAGATTTCGCTAGGCGAAACTTTCGCTTCGAAAGTTTCGCCCGAAAATTTCGCTCGTATTTTCAATATTTCTGCGAAATTTTGTTAGGGCACAGGAAATTTAAAAAAAAAACCGAAAAAGGGTGAGGGGAGGGCCAGAAACAATGTCGTGACTCCAGTATCCACTTTAAACGCATGGGACAGGGAGGTCTAGGCATGACGCCGTGGTGCATTAGCCTGAAGTTGAGAGATAAGCTAGTACTACTGACGGATTTTGCAAGGTGATAAGACTAAGGGCACTACCAACTAAGCTCGACGGATCCGCGACCAGCCCTAACTTATCGATGTTGAAGATAGACTTCCCCACAGCATGAAATCGTCACATTTTGTGCATCCAACCTTTTTCTATCTCTAAACCGCGTATTACCGCTCTGGATCTAGAAAACCCAACCAACCCAAATTTACAGTTGGGCTGAGGGGGGCTTTCCCAGATCTAGATCTCCAATCGACCCCCATTCAATCCTCAATTGCTAGCTGTCTTCTCCAGCGAGGTTTGAAAATTTCGCCGAAAAAATCGCCGAAATTTTGCACCGAATGCAAAATTTGGAGACTCGGCGAAATTAACCGAAAGTTTCGGGCGAAAGCTTCGACGGCGAAATTTTCGCCCAAAATTTGAAAAATTCGCCGAAGTTTTGAACCGTGTTGCACACAGGCAGCTGGTCTGATAAAACCTCAAATCTCAGGTTGCTCTGATCAATTGCTCTGCCTTGGAGCCTGTGTGAAGCAAGACAACCAAAAGGGCAGGTGCAAAAAAGCGTGATATCCCCTAATTTTAGCAAGCTTTTCACATTTGCCATTTTTCTGTATTGTAGAAAAAAAAAACTGTTACAAAAAAAGTCCGCACGGACTTTGACTGTTCATGCCCATCATGGTGATTCATAGTATCTATTGGACTGAACCAACTCATTGAACAGCTTATGGTGTAAACAGGTTGGATTAACCATTGTGGGCGCTACACAGTTGATTGAGGGAGATGAAAAATGTTTTCGACTGTGAGTTGCAGAAATTAGAAATTCCACACAAAAAAAAACGTTTGCTTAAGAAGCTCACATGGCATCAACAACTTGAAGTCTGCTCAAGGTTGCAGGTATTGAACCGCTCAGGTTGTTATTGAGAAGCCAGCTGTATTTCACACAATGGGAGTGTAAAACAGTGAGAGGAGCGGGCGAAGGCAGGCATGTGAACACATATGACATGATGTGAGTGACCTGCATCGCTTCGAATGCCCAAAGTTCCTATCCAGAAAGCGATCTGAGTTTGTCTACGATTCAAAGTTTGGCTGTGGCGTGCATGCATGTTGACTCCGTGACCAGCAGCGCTCACAAGCGATTCAGGCGGGTGAGGTTCCCAAGGGAGGCAGGAAGTGTGCCGCTGATTCTGTTGTAACTGAAGTCCCTGGTGGGAGGAGAATGGGATGCGAGAGGAGAATGGAATGTGAGAGGAGAATGGGATGTGAGAGGAGAATGAGATATTACAGGAAGTCTACCACACGCGTTTGCCCCTATCCACCTCAGTAAAGAAAGACTGGGTGGCTCTGAACTCATCGGCCTTTGTTACTGCATCAGCGGGCACCAGGAGCAGCAAAAAGGCTGCAATGGTAACGATGTAGCGCCGTGTGCCTCCAGCACTTGCTATCCACACTTCCACTATTTGCCCACTCCTCTCCCCTTTTTTCTTTTTTTGCAATGCCTCTGACTGACTGACATCCTGCCTGGCTGTCTTCATGGGTTCACAATTATTTTTTCTTATCAGAGCAGTCTTAACAAACCACCAGTCTTCAGCCACCTCCCCCCCTGCTTAGGCATGAGCAAAGTGTCTTTTGCCACTGAAACTCGAACTGGTCCGAGTTTGGCTTAATCCAGCAAAGAAAAGAAAAGAGAAGGAATTTCCTTCGAAAAGAGATACAATCAAGGATTTTGAATGAGTTCAACGGTGTGCACATTTCCGTATGTTTCTGAGTCGAACAGGTCGAACCGATTCAAGTAGAACCAACAGCCACAAATACGGCTGTAGTTTGGTTCCTGCCGTACCAGGCTACCAGCTGTGTTAGGGTTTCTGTGGCCTGATTGCCGTAGCCTTGCCAATGCGCCTCTCCAGCCACTTCTTTTCCAGATGGTTGGCCATAGTCATGAACAGCCACTGTAGCGCGTTCAGATCCATGGCCCTGCCCAGAGCCGCCCTCCTCTCCTTCTCCGTCATTTGCTCGCATGCTGTTGCCCCTGCCAGGAAGCCCATAGCTAGCTCTCTCTCTTGCGCTGTCGGCTCTTCCCACACTCCTCGGGCCTGATCGTACACCATGCCTGGGCCTTCCACGCCATCGACTTCCTTGAAGCCCCTCGCGTTTTCGTAGGACACTAGCGTCGGCCATGCCTGCCGAGGCTCCCCCACCTTGTTGCACGGGTACAGCGTTGGGTGATCGGCCTCCTTGACCGATGCTGCCAGCCTCCCTGGTTCCAGAATATCCTCCACCCACCTCGCTCTTGGTCGCTCCATCCGTGACAGCTGAAACCTGAGCGCTGACTCCGGCACGACATTCTGCCAGTACCTCCTCGGCCTGTGAGCTCTACTTCCGTTTTGCACCGCATCCCACTCCACTCCTGCCCCCAGTTCCTCGGTGATTTCCCTGCTAGCTGCTCGTATCGCTGGTCGTGGGTCATCCGTCATGTCCACATTCTCAATGATATATGCCACCTCCCCTTGCCTCCTCTTGATCATCTTTAGTACCCGCACTAGATCTCTGAATTGTGCGCTGCGGGCATCGCCCATGCCTTGACCCCTCCCTGCTCGAGACAGCCCCTGGCAACTCCACCCTGCGATCACCAGATCGATCCTCCCCCATTGAGCCAACATACCATCGTCAATCTCTTCCACCCCGCGGCACAACCATTCTGCCCCTCTCTCCGCCGCTTCTGGCATTAGCTGCTCATGATACCTGCCTTCAACAGCTTGAGATGGTGCCATGCCATTAGATTCGCTCCTCCGTCATTGTCCACGTATAGGTACTTGGCCACCGTGTGCCCCGACTTCAACACCGCCGCCAGCCCAGTGGCTATTCCGCCGTACAGCTCCAATATCACTAACGGTTTCTGAAGTGCTCGCAGGTTCAGGACGGGTTCTCGCAAGTTGTCACTAACCCCCAAGATCTCTTCGTACTGCTTCCTGGCAGACTCCGTTTGCCCCATTTCCTTCCACGTCATGATGCCCAGCTCCTCATCCAGCGGTTTCTCCATTGCTTGATAGGCCTCTCGTGGTTCCCTTCTGATAAACCGCACCGGTAGCTCTGCCAATTCACTGTCGTGCTCCCAATATGTCACTCGATATTTCAGCCGTTCCTCCCACATGCAGATGGTGGTTCCGATAGCAAACAAGTACTCCACTCCTAGCAGCAGATTGTAGTCTTCTGATGTGGACACGCCGCAGTGCATCCGCACTATACATTCGTCTTGATGACCGGGCCGTATCACTATTTCCACCGTGCTGCGAGTCTTCGGCATCCACTTCGCCGTGCCTCCTTCCGCGGTCATCAGCAGGTAACCCTCGGGTATCACTCGGTCCTCTCGGTCCAATCCCAGTAACCTTGCCATGGGCGCCCCAATCAGCACATTGTGCGCTCCTGTATCCACGATCGCTTGCTTGACTTTAACGCCGCCCACGCTCATCACACCCGGTTCCACCACCAAGACTGACGGCTGACATGCCATCCGCTCCAGGGGATGACGACGCGCTGCTCCCACCGTTCTCGCCTCCGTGGTGTCTCTCCTCGGTCCCTGCTCCCGCACTGGAGTTTCTTGTGGGAAGTAGCGTCGTCGTGCTCGTAACCCAAGTTCTTCCCTCTCCCGCACTGGTCGTGCCATGAGCGCGAAGCTGGCCTCGCTTCCTTCCTCATCTTCTTCCTCCGACCTTGCTAACATAGCATTTCCCTTCTGCTCCGGTCCGGCCATCTCCTCCAGCTGACGTT